TGAACCTAGATATCCTACAAAATTTTTATTGTCCAATCTTCAGCTACCCCGACACCAGGCTTACGGATGGTTACTGCAGCTGCACCATGTCCCCCTAGCCGGAGTGGACCAAGTTCAATTTCTGCATTCTCATTTCCTGGTTCAACAAGAGCACTTTTTGGCCCAGGAGTATGTCCGAGAAGAATAATCCGCTCAATAATGCAGTCAGAAGAAAATCCAGACCTGCCAAGGGAAGAGGATGCCATATTTGAAGATGTAAGCTGCCCATTCGAGAACACAAAGCGGCGATGAATGTAAGCCCCATGCTTGGAGTCAAAGCTTTTTCCATCATCAAGATAGAGTTCCCCTTCAGCTGCTTGGGAACTGTTCAGAGTTATCACCTAAAACAGACACAGCGATGTTAGAGCTAGAGACTCATCATGCTGAAATTTACTAGATTATCGTTGTCATCAATGTCAATACTACCCAATAGAGGAAAAAAGTTAGAGAAAACAGCAACAATCATGATCCAAGCTCAGTCATTTTATAAAGTTTTGAGAATAGATAGCCACTTCACAGTTCGATGACATGTTCTCTAATGAAAAGGAACTTTGCTGCAAGTCATAAAGTGGTGCCATATTTGGCTGGATTCAACCAGTCGCACGCTAACTAATGAGTACCATGCTGATTAAAACAAACCAAGCAGCAATAACTTATTCAAAATATCCGAAGGCCATTTTTCAAAAGCACTGGCAAATTCTGAGCAAACAAAAAATTTAATTCTTTTTTTAATATTCCAACATCACCAATTCTTTCTAAAGTGCTGTAATCTATTCACAGATTTATCCACTTTAGCCCAGCATTTTCTTGGCTATAAGAACCCTTTTTTAAATGATGAGTACTACACATTAAGACAAAAAGTTGACAACATTGAATATTAGAATGCAACATGTCACTAAAAATTACTATATCAGCATCTATGAGGCTACAACCTAACTATGATAACTATCATATTAATGAAAAGCATGGATGCATTTATGCTCACATGCTAATATTTTATGATGTGAAGCATCTCAATCTGTTGGTCTCATAATTTGTAGGAAGTGCCTAGGTAACAATTTATGATTCACAAGGCTAGTTTACAAATAAACCACACCAAGAATCTATAATAGTTTCATAATACCATATGTGGATTTATTCCTTCATAGGATAATATTAAACATCAAAATTTTGCAGTAGGCATCAGCTAGAACAGAAAATTTGTGAGAAATCTTCTTGATCAGCTTGTTAGTATCAAATAGTGTTCATATTTACCCCCAGTCATTTTCATATTTGAAATGGCACATTTAGTTGTGATTGACTTCGAAGAATTTTGTTTTCCGAAGTGCAATTTAGGACCCAAAAGGCCAACACCGGTTAAAGAACTCAAGGACACTCTATCAACAAAACGATGAAGTGCTTCCGAGCTTTAGTCAACTTGTGCTGTGCTTTAGTGCCTACGCACATACCATGATAACATTTGGGCCACCAGAACAGCCTACCCGTGCTAGAAAACACAAATTGGAAAAAATAACACGATTGCAAGGAAAGAATACCTGGCACTATTTTACACCAACTGTAAGATATATTCATGAGAAGACTGGAAGTGCTAGGTCGTATCAATTACATACCAGTGTATAAGGATCATGCACCATTTGAGTGGAGCTTCTACGGAACCGGTCTTTTCTTGGTAAAATAGTGCCAGCTCTTTGGAAAGCAGGAATGCTTTCTTCTGAAACTTCAAGCTTATGGATCTTTCCCCCCTTATATGCAGTTCCAGTTCTAATGTCATACCACAATTCCATCCCAGGCAAATATACAGATGCATGTTTAGCCCTCTGTATTAAGAGAAAAATTATGATACTTCGGTTATTTACAGGGCAAGAAGATAAGAAAAGCAACAGAGAAAATAAGAAACAGAAAAGATAGAAGGTTAAAGATCCAGTTAACAGTAGTACCTCACTAAAGATCCCTTGCACCAATAGACTGTTTCCAACCATGAAAGCTTCATCGTTACTGAATGTTGCTTCATCAGATGGGAACTCCATCCATAATGGACGTACAACAGGAACACCAGTAACATTTGCTTCTCTGAATAATGAGTAAAAGTATGGAAGCAATGTATAACGAACACGTATGGCATCTCTCATAAGTTCTGTATTTCGTTCACTGAAATAAGATAAAACTCATTACTTTGCAGATCATAGAAGTAAATGCATAATGAAAGTAGAGATATATTGTATGATAATAATATCAAGTTCATTATATCTTAAGCCTTTCCATTGACAACAACACTCACAAATACACCTGCAGTTCATACAACCACAAGTTCACAGGTGGGATACAAGTATCCTGATTAACAACGGTAAACATTCAGTGGCATTTGGCAACATATTGGGAAAATGAGCCATCACAAGAACTAGAATGAAAGCTGGAATTTCGAACTTCAATAGTACTAGACACGATAGAATTCTGTCAAAGTGGTTCTACTAACAGTTAAAGGGTTTTTTTCTTTCATGAATCAATCACTGCAATTCTTCCAAGAACATCTTTAAACATAACTTAATGCAGTTTCCATAATACAAAGGAGGTCACAGGGGCCATCACCCCCAAAATACACGTCATGCTGCTGACCAGAATTTAATTTGGATGCACTCTCTTCAGATTCAAATGACAAGCATACAAACAGTGAAAAACGAGTAGAGCTTACTTTTCAATGCACTAATAATACATTGCAACAATTTCAGAAACTCGTTAAGTTGTAAGGGATGAGAAACAGATGAAAAGGTGAACAGCACAGTGTTCCTAAGATAGGGTAAATTTAGCTTTGGTGAAGAAACGAGCTTAATATGTGTTTGTGATTTTACATGTTAGGAATATTCTATATAAATGCACGTGCTAAAAGTAAATGCTAATCCATCAAGATGCCGAGAGTAGAATTACATGGATGTTAAAAGCATCATACCCAAACAACCAAGGCTCTCGTCTTTTTGTGTCATGATGGGCATGACCTCTAAAGAAAGGATAGTAAGCACCAAGTTGATACCAGCGCACTAATAGCTCAGGCTCAGGATTGCCAAAAAATCCACCAACATCAGCACCTGTGAAAATTTATCTAGCATCATTATTTCGGGGGGAAAAAGGTGCACTAGGTTAACTTTTTTTCTTTAAAAAAAATGGCAGGCATACCAGAGAATGACATTCCAGTAAGACCAAGCGCCAAAATCATTGGGACTGAAACCCTGAGCTGATCCCAATCTGCTGTATTATCACCAGTCCACACTGCTCCATACCTTTGACTTCCAGCAAAGAATGCTCTGGACAAAACAAAAGGTCTGTCCTTACCATCCCCACGCTTTACAAGCCCGTCAGCTGTTGCCATGTGGAAGTAATAGCCATAGGCATTATGTAACTCCCGATGTTCCACTCCCCCAGCATGCAACGCATCTCTGGGCATTGTCACCTAGAAACAGTAAAAGTTTTGTCAATGTGCTGTTTCACCTGCCAGTCTGCATTATGAGGAGTTAACACACACACACACACACACACTCCAGAATTTCTACAATTTTGAAGTATAGCTGCCAAAATTAAAGGATACTCAGCAATAACTTCACCATCTTCATAGATATGCATTTTTTGGGTTATTAATAACAACTTAACATGATTATCAGCAGACATTTGCATTCCAACATTGGATGAACAGAGGAACTCTCAAATGAAAAACAAAACATTTCGCTCGACTTAATTTGGAAAATCCAAAACTATTATGATCAATAGTCTTTACTTATCTAAACAACAACAATTGAACAAGAAATAAAAAGTTGCATATTACTATCCATTACAAGCTGTACAAAATTAAGGGTTGAATTTGTCACAAATATGTCCAATACAACTGTAGACCATCAACTACCAAAGTCCTATATAAATACTAACCTCTAAAGGTCATTATAGTAATTTTATCATTAATGAAATATAAAATAACCTTGTAATTAAGTTACTCAACTCATTTCTTCCTTTCTTTTTTTTCTCCCTCCATTACTTTTGCCCCACTCTCTCCATTTTTTTCCCTTAATCAAACTAGTTCTCCTCATCTTCCTCTGCAATTATCTGTCTCTCTCGCATGGGTGGGCAGCAACAAGCTAGAGTGTATAATTGAATGATAGCTAAGCAGAATAAGCATTAGCTATTTAACATCAATAACAGAAAAGAGGATAAGAAAATAACAAAGAGATAAAAAAAAAATGAATAGAAAAGAAACACTGCATTAACAAAAGTGGCATACCTCTGGTCCATTAAAGACAGAAGGCTCATTCATGTCATTCCAAATGTACAATGAAGGAGTTGAACCAACATAATTTTCATAAGAAAACTTCCCACCCCACCATGATCTAATCTCTGGATTCAACATATCTGGGTACGAGGAGGAACCTGGCCAACACCACCCATCATAATCCTTCCCACTTGCATCCTTAACATAATACCCCCTCTGAGTTGCATCCTTGTGCAACTGAAATGACTCATCACGCTTAATATGTGGATCCACAATTGTCACCATATGCCTACCTTTGGCCGCCAACTTCTTTTGCATCTCGTCTGGATGTGGGAACAGCAACTTATCCCATGTAAAATACCTCTTGCCATCAGTATGCTCAATATCAAGCCATAAAACATCATATGGAATATCATGCTCATCAAACTTGGAATCCACATTCTCTACATCCTCTTCATCCCGGTAATTCCACCTACATTGATGATATGCTGTAGCAAACAGCTGTGGCATGGATGGCAGACCTGTCACACTCGTGTATTGCCTGACAACATCCTTTGGCCCTGGCCCAACAAAAAAGAAGGTATCTACAATCCCAGCCTCACTCATCCAAAAGGTATCAATCCGACTCTGCAAAGTGGGCATCAAAAGCCCATCTTCTGCATCCCAACCATTTGCCAATACATCAATCTGCATCTCTGCAGCATTCAACCAGAAAAACCCAGAACTTTTTCCAGACTTCCCGTGCGATACCATGAATGGAATGGAACCATAAATCCCAAAGGGCGAATCATGAACATACTCAAAAACATCCAAGTTAAACAATCTATAAGGCTCAGATTCATCAACCCCAGGTCCCCTAGTGGGTTTAAGAGCAAAACTAGTTGCATGTTCCGGTATTCCATAGACAAAATCAGACCCGTAAAAGGAAACATCGAAACTAATCGACTGTGGACCGTATGGCCTGGTATCAGTATGCCCTCTAAACCTTTCCTCCCAATCCTCATCCTCTTTTTTCACTCTCAATTGTTCAAAATCAAATAAACCATGTGAATTCAATGAAACTACGCGTCGATTACCTGCTTTCTCTCTAACGTAAATCTCAAATGGAACGTGCCTTAGGACGAAATTAAACAATAAACCGCATTTAACATTAAAAAATTAAATACACACGTACTAAAAAAGTTTTTTAATGTTAAGAGCGGTTTATTATTTAGTTTCGTTCTCAACAACTTTTTAATAATTAGAAGCCCAAATTCATAGACACTAGTCATAACTGCAAGTAAGCGGAACGAGAGATCACGCGATTCTTTAAAAATAACGTTGGTTGTCGTAAGTTACCGTACGAAATAACGCTATCTTTATTTTTTCTCAATTTAGTAAAACTTTTTTAACGCATGTGCATTTTTTTTTAATGTTAAGAGCGGTTTATTGTTTAGTTTCGTCTTCAACAACTTTTTAACAAAAGATCGTTCGAAGCATTGAATTGAGTATCTCGAGAAACTATCGAGTTTTGTCACTGATTGACACGATAAGACATTCATAGAGTCGTAGCATAAGGCTTACGTTTTCCCTTTTGGTGAAACACGTCTGTTTGTCTCCTAAGTTTTAAATTGAGATATTCTCACTTTGACACCCCCAAGTTCTAAAATTTTCATTTTCGTCATTAACCTTAATTTGAACATGTAATATTATCGCATTGCAATCCTCTTTCCAAATTGTCTAATCTCGTGTTAAGATTAACCATTGCTACGTGAAGAAAATTTTTAATAAATATAAATTTGAATTTATTAATTTTGTTAGTGGTAAATTAGACGAATTAGTTATTAAAAGCAATTACTATATATAATTGTATGAAGAATATTTATTTTTATGTTGCATAAATTAGCGTTTAGGAAAGCAGATTGGATGTGTAATTATATTCAATTATTGAGAATGTAATTTTTTTTAATTTTATAAAAAATTTTATAAGATTGACAGGTGTAAATTATATTAACATAATACTTAAAAGTGTTCATGCGTTGGATTAGGTTCATTAACATTATACATAAATATATTAAATGTATTTTAATAGTTTTAACTATACGATAATAATTATTAATTAAATATTATAATATCTCCTCTCAGGCTGAATTGGACTCAAGCTTAAGAAAGACTAGCAAGCTTAATGGCCAGGACCCGGATCATGGACAGGGCTAATGAACGTGGAATTAAAAAATTCCATTAGGAATGTATATATTGTGTTAAAGGGGAAGACTGTCGCGGTCTTATTGGATTTATTAGTCTTAGAACAAGATTAAAGCAAAGAATAGCCTAAAGATTAAAACAAGATTAAAGCAAAGCATAGCCTAAACAAGGATAAAAGATAATTAAAGCAAAGAATAGCCTAAAGATTAAAACAAGATTAAAGCAAAGCATAACCTAAACAAGAATAAAAGATAATTTAAGCAAAGAATATATGCTTTGTTTTAGACTTTCTTTTTCCATGCTCAAGGGACTTTCTTCTCTGTTGCCAGCTTTGGTCACTTGCAATATAGATGTGGAGAGGTATATAATATATGGTGTAGGGAGAACAAAGTGTATGGAAATTGTTACTATATATAGTAGTAATTCGTTTTTCGTTTAATAAAGTAAAATAATATTACTTCTTTATTAAAGCTGGAATATGTACTTGAAGTGTATGAGTTGGTCTCCTTTGAAAGTATTACATGCAAGCAAGCAAGCTCAGTTGTTATACAGTATGCTGGTTAATTAATTAGTACGTGCTAGCTTTTTTTTTTACTTCAGGTCTACCCATTTCCACATCTCAAAACACCTAAACAGCATATTTCTGAGAAAATATTGATTCAATTCAAGCCCTACCTTGCCAAAGATAATGGATTCTTTTGCCTCCAGTATTGTGAGAAATATCTTGGAGAGAGTAGGGACATCTGCTTACCAGCAAATTATCTCTGCATGGGGCATTGAAGATGAAATGAGGAAGTTGAGAAACACTTTGGAAGAAATCCAAGCTGTGCTCAATGATGCTGAGGAGAGGCAGGTGAAAGACAAGGAGAAGGAACTGAGGATTTGGTTGGGAAGATTCAAGGATGTCCTGCACAACGTGAAAGATGTGTTGGATGATTTTGAGATTCAAGATTTGCAGACAAAGATGATGGTGGATCGTGGGACTACTCTAAATAAGGTTCGCAACTTCTTTTCATCCTCCACCTCCCTTGCTTTTCGCTTCAAGATGAGTCAAAAAATAAATAAAATATGGGAGAGGTTGGATGAAATTAAAACCAGCAAAGACAGACTGCACCTCTCCACGGCATCCAAAAAGGAGACTGGCTTCCAAAGGGCCAGGGAGACCCACTCCTATGTGGATGCTTCTGCTGTCATTGGGAGAGATGATGATAAAGAAAACATCATTCAAAGTTTGCTGCTGCCGAATGATCATGATCATAGTTGTAATGTCTCTGTTATCTCAATAGGTGGATTAGGAGGCTTGGGCAAGACAACTCTGGCTAAATTGGTGTGCAATGATGAAAGGGTACGTAAGCATTTTGACTTGAATATGTGGGTTTGTGTCTCGGAGGAGTTTGATGTCATAACAATGACAAAAGAAATTCTTAAATCAACAAAGGCCGGTCTGCTAGGTTATGATGAGTCCAATTTCCAGAAGTTGCAAGAGGAGCTACGGCATGCTTTGAAAGATAAAAAGTTTTTACTCGTGTTAGACGATGTATGGAACGATGACCCCAAAAAATGGGAAGAGCTGAATCAATTGTTGATGGGCCGTAGGGGAAGTAAAATCTTGGTGACTACTCGTAGTCAAAAGGTTGTCAAAGCCATGAAATCTCAAGTGAAATATGAGTTAGGCTGCCTTTCCCATGATGATTGTGTCTCTCTGTTCTGGAGATGGGCTTACATTGAAGGACAAAAAGAAAGGCACCAAACCCTGGTAGAAATTGGAAATGAAATTGTGAAAAAATGTGAAGGAAACCCTTTGGCAGCCAAAACTTTGGGGAGCTTGCTTTCCTTGACAACTGATGAAAAAGATTGGCTAAATATCAGGGACAATGAGATATGGGAGCTAGAACAGGAAGAAGATGACATCATGCCTGTACTAGAACTGAGTTACAATCGAATGCCACCATACTTGAGATCATGTTTTGCTTATTGTGCAGTTTTTCCAAAAGGTTTCAAATTCAACTCTGTTGATTTGATCCAACTATGGTTGGCGAATGGGCTGATTACACCTTACAAAAACTCTGAGGTGGAGTATGTTGGCATGCAATACCTCAAAGAGTTATTTGGCAGGTGTTTCTTCGAAGATGTTGAGGAATATGTGTTTGTTTACACGTTCAAAATGCATGACTTAATACACGATCTTGCACTATCTGTGGCACAGAAGGAATTCTTGACTGTGGACTCCCGCACCAACATTATCCCCGAAAGTGTTCGACATCTGTCACTCTTTAACAGTAATTTATTTCAGCAGAAACTCAAGAAACCATCTCAAAAGAGGTTAAGGAAAACATTGAGAACTATTCTCTGTCCACTTGCAGTGATAGGATCTATTTGTGAATCTGATGTTGGTAGCTTCTTCATGGGCTGCAAGTACTTATGGGTGTTGGATTTAAGTTCCTCGTCTTTCGAGGAGCTCCCAAGCTCCATCGGCCAGTTAAAGCATTTGAGATATTTAAGCCTGTCCGGAAATCGCAGAATCAGGAGACTTCCCACTTCGGTTTGCAAGTTGCAGAAGTTGCAAGCATTGGGACTCGTTGGATGTAGAATGCTTGAAAGGTTACCCAAAGGTGTGAGAAACCTGATTGGCCTTAGATTTCTGGAATTCACAACAAATGAAAAGTTGTTGCCAAATGAAGAAATTGGATGCTTGGCTTCTCTTCAAGTTCTCTCCATATCAGGATGCCAAAATCTAAGATTTTTGTTCGAGGACATGAAGCAATTAACTGCCCTCCGGACTTTGAGCATCACGGACTGCAACCGGCTTCTGCGTCTTCCATGTTCTGTGAATGATCTGACCGCATTGGAGAACTTGATAATCTCCAACTGTGAAAAGCTAGACATAGAGGGAAAAGAGGATGCCAACCTCAACCAAGATGAAAAGGTGTGTAGCCTTCGATCAATCACGGTTACAAAAATGACAACTTTCATGGCTTTGCCTCAATGGCTTCAACGATCGGCCAATACGTTATCGTGCATAATTATTGAAGATTGTCCCTTCTTCAAGACATTGCCAGAGTGGTTGAACAATTTCAAGTCACTTCAAAAGCTTCAAATTAAAAGATGTGCCCAATTTCCGTATGTGTCAGAGCTCAACAAACTTGAAATGGCCCTAGTCCCAAAAGTTTATGTTGACGACTTCAAGTTGGAGCCTAGTGAGGGTTGATTAGGTCTGGTATCTCCGACCCTTGCATCGCTTTTCGAGCTCCATATACCAAATTTGTTTCCTTTGGCATGAATCTTTGTACTAGTGAAAAGAATTAAAGTTTATTTGATGCATTGGTTGTTGCTTGTCATCAACTTATTTGAGTCTATATTTCATCTTCTACCTTCAGGGGACTTTAACATAATCAATCAAATAAGGCATATGGTTAATTTTTGAAATTAACCCAAGTACTGAAAAAATGTTTTCAACTCTTATCAGCCATTCATACATAAACCTGATCAAGAGAAAAAAGGACTTATTGCTAAGTCAAAAGTGGCCAAATGAATTAAAACAATATATTTCAATTTATCATAATTGAACTTTCTTTTGAATTCTAGGAGTTGTGTATCGCTTTTGACTATAATCGATAGGAGTCAAAATTTGTCAAAGCAACGATACACTCAAGCTTGAAGGAGCCGAATGAAAAACGTATATAAATGTTAAATGACAATATAATTTAACAAGTACATTATAGGTTACCATAAATCTGTTGTCAAGTTACAAATCAGTTCTTAATCAATTATAACCTTTAACTATACACATGAATCGAGAAATACAATATTCATGATCCAAACAATGATTGGTTTGTTAAAACTTATTGCTTAATAATTTGGAAAGAATAAGAAGCAATCACTTGAGTTATAATTAAAATGCCCCAAGCTGGAATACACAAGTGATTAAAGTCACTCATACAGTTTAAGTTTGATTGTTAGTTTGGTGTGGAAAATTCAGGGTTCAAAACCCTTACAAATGTCGATCCAATCCTGGGTGGAGGAGCAGGATCAGTTACATTGTGGAACCTGCTACCTTCTTCATATCGCTCAACGATCTGTCGATATATATCCACCGATCTGCGACTCAAAGAGTAACGTGCCATGGGATCATACAAGTGCTTTCTGCTCTTAACGTCGTTGATAAATCTTCTGATTAGTTCCTCGAAGGCGTCCACTTCTGCTAACCAGCTCTCAACTTCAGGGGAAATACTCCTTTTTTCTCTTTTGGCTTTATCAACTTGTTCTCGCAGTGTATTCCTGAGGCGACACAGCCAAGTGATTTCAAATTCAAGTTCTTCAACGTAGCGCCTGTAATAAATCACGTCGCCACAACTTCTCGTGATCGGCTGTACGCAGAATTTTAGTACTCCACTTGCTAACAGTTTCAACATTCTTCTTTTTACGCTTCCTCTGTGGTAATTCCAAGGTTCGATAGCCATGGGTAGAGGAAACCAGAAAGCTCTGACGCAAGTTTTAGTACAAGAAATTCAAAGGGTACAAAATACACAAATCACCAACATCAACATGTAAAGGCTGACACTAATTATAGCCTGCATACATGCAGAAACTAGAATTACCATGCCTCGTATGCATGGTTTATGGTTATATGGCAGTAATCAAGGGGATACACAGTTGAAAGGGTTGATGAGAAAATATAAAGGAAGGTACACTCCGACGGATGCTTTAGGAATTGCAAAGGAAAACATACAAAGTGCTTATTCCCACCCCTTGCTTCAAGCCAATGTAATCACTTTTATTCTTATAATTATTCTTACTTTTAAAATACTTCCCATTACTTCTAAATACAGCATTCCAAAATTAATCATAAAGCACCTCCTGTATATCATAAAAAAACAACAAAGATATAATGGGAATAACCCTAATATACTCATACTATAGATGCCAATCCAAAAAGAGTTGGAAAATAATATCATAACAAAATCTTGTTTATGATATGGTAGACTAGAGAATAATAGTACCAGTTAATAATATTTATTTGGATTTTCTCTTGTATACATATTGTTTATATTTTTTGTACAAAAAATTCTCTATAAAAATAAGAATTAAAGAAAGATTAAAAATCAGATAAATAATCGAACTCATATATAGATATGGATCAAAAGACCTTGATAAATAAATGGTTTTAATATACATAATTTTTTTAGAAGGGTTTTAGTACTTTTATTTTTCTTATATAGCTTAATTTTCAACTAAATTTATCAATATACGTTAGACTTTATTTATTTTACATCAATCCAAAATAATTATTAACTTTTACTCCTTCAAATTTCTTTATATTCATTTGATTTTCATGAAGTTAAAAAAATTAATTTTAATGTATTAATTTATATTAAATTTTTCTTTATGAAATAATTGAAATTGTATGCCTTTTAAATAGTAGATAACAAAAAATAAACAGTAAAAATATCAATAAAATATAGAACCTGCATGAAAAAAAAAATATTAGAAGGGACTACAATCTTTCATATGGTTTCATGGAATTTTATAATATATCTTTAAATCAAAAGTCGTTAAATTTTACTTATATAAATTATAAATGCCAAATTTCGAATTAATTGAAGGTGTCTCACTATTATTATGTAAAATTTTATATGTAAAATGCTTGCCACTTGAGTTATAGTTTCATTGATAGATATCTTACAAATATATATCAAATTGGCTTCATGTCATATTATCTTAAACTTGATATGGGTAATTATTTTGCATATATTATATAGCGTGTCATGCATGAGCAGCTTTCAACGTCGCTGATAAATCTTTGGGTTAGTTCCTCGATGGCGTCCTCTTCCACTAGCCAACTTCAGAGGTAATACTCTGCTTTGCCTACTGACCTTCCTAACCATTTCAACAATCTTCTTCTCCTTCTTCTTCTGGGGTGGAATGGGATAAAGTCATTAATGCATGGAACATCCATGGTTAGAGAGGAAAACAGAATGATCTGATACAAGGTTTAATGCAAGGAGTTCAACTATAACATAACAGGCATGATCAGGGTACAAAATCACATACATATTATAATTAATGGGAAATCAGTTTGCAAATGTTCTGCATGCTCAGCTTCTTGCTTCTTTACTTCTCTCCCTGAGAATAATGAACACAACCATATATAATGCAGTCGAACATGTCGAAGCCAACATGAGAATCCAAAGGAGCAAAGAACAGAAAAACTCACCAACGTCAACATGTAAATGAAACTAGAAGTAGCATATGCCTCATGCATGGTTATGGTAGTAATCAAGGGGATCCGTTTGAAAGCCTTGATGAGGAAGAGGAAATGACAAGGAAGATAATCTAACCAATGCTTTATGAATTACCTAGGGAAACATACGAAGTGCATGATGAAAGCATGCATTTTGATTTATCCTTGAAAATTCCTTTTTTTTTCCTTTTTAATTAACATATGCAATAATTACATATATTCCTTGAGCTTCAACAATATTTAACAACAATAACAACACATATGAACAGAATTTTTTTCATTCAAATAATTATTTAATTGAAGAAATAATTAAGATTAATTTGATTGTTATGCTTAACTTTATAATATAAGTAAAATGATGACAGTCAAGTTTATAGACCAAGATTGTCGATCACCATGCAATCAACATTTTTAATAATTATATTTTCTTGAAGAACGTTAAAATTTAACAAATTTTAGATTTAGAATGTATTATTGTACATAAAAATCAATAAATTAATCATTATAATTTAATATATAAACTATAAGATCTGTAAATAACTTAATCATCAATTAAAGCTAAATATAAGAAAAACAAAAAAAAACATAAATTGCTATATATATATATATATATATATATGTCATTTCCATCAACCAATTATTATACTATGCCAATGAGGTCCATTTAGAACAAAAAACTCTCAAACTTTTAGATCCTCACTTCAAAGTCACATTATGCGTAAGTTTGATCCAACTTTATATTAAATTTTAGAATATATATCTGTTTATTGATTGGTTTATTAAAAATTTAGTATACTTCACTTTAATTTTTTTTATGTCGGATGCAATATCATATAAAATAAGGATTATTTAATTTTAATTGTAATTGTCACTTATATATGTAACTTAATGAAAAACAGAGAGAGAGAGAGAGAAAAGAAACCCATAATTGTGTGGTTAGTTACATAATTAGACAATTGCATATATCAAAATTTAGTCATCTATTAAAACACACATAAATTAATTGTTGAAATATTATATAGTTTCGGTCCTAATTTTCTAACCACTAATTAGGCAAATTTAATTTTTGTAAGCACATACTAAAAAACAAGATACAAAGCAACACACAAGAAAAGAATGAAATTCTTTTGAATTTTACTATTAAATATTCAATCAGAATTAATTATGAATGATATAATATATATTAGTCTACTTGTACCGTACGTTACGGTCTCACTAATATTGGTGGGAAACACCGACCCTTTTGTGTATATAAACTCATCAGTCCTAAAAACCCCCAAGTTCATATATCAATTGTTATCGAAATCCACCCAATATTTCTAAATCCCATTCTCTCAGCAACAAATCCAAGTGCTTTCCTTTTACCGGTTCTCGTCATTGGTTCTTCACGGTCCCTCAAATCCGACTATCTCTCGCTATCAGGTTAGCTTTCTCCTCGAAGAAGAAGAAGATGATGATGATGATGATTGATTTCGGCTCTCTTTCTCATACTTACTCTCACTCACCTGCCATTAGATTTCTAGGGTTTCTTCTCACCCATTTTACGGATATTCAGAAGGTTTCTCTATTTCTGGAACTGCTACGTCGCGGTTATCTTCACTTATCCAATTCTTAGGTTTAGGGTTTAATTAGGGTTATTTAAGGGTTGTTCATGAGAGTGGGTTTTGGATGATTGGATTTTTCCTGGATTTTGGAGGACCAGAATATTGAAAGTCGAGGGCTTTGGTAGTGGAGAAGATGGAAAGTCTATGACGTGGTATTAAATATGTTCGTATTTCTTCCAGTTTGGATATACCTTGAAAAAAAACGGGTTAGGCTTTAAGGTTTTTCCTTTTAATTGTTTAAGTTTTCTGTGAGAACCCAAAAGAATTAAAAATGTTGGAAGAATATCTACTCTGCTTTCGTTTATTGATTTTTGAAGATCGGCTGCAATATTTGGTTTGCTCGTCGCCGATTTCAAAAAATATCCAGCTTTCTGTAATTAGGGTTTGTTATCTTTGGTTTGTTTAGAATTTAATTAGGGTTTTCCGAGCAATTGGATTT